CTATCGAGGTTTGTCATAATTTTCCTCCCAAGAAGCAGGCATCTTTTAATTTCGTGGCTGCTGTCCCCATCTGCAGTGATCATGGAGCCCAAGAAAGTAAAATCTGTCACTACCTCCATATCTTGCTCTTCTATTTGCCAGGAGGTAATGGGGCCAGTGGCCATGATCTTAGTTTTTTTGATGTTGAGCTTCAGACCATTTTTTGGCGCTCTCCTCTTTCACCCTCATTCAGAGGTTCTTTAATTCCTCCTCACTTTCTGCCATCATGATGGTATCCATCTGCACATCTGAGGTTGTTGATATTTCTTCTGGCAATCTTAATTCTGGTTTGGGATTCTTCCACTCTGGCCTTTCGCATGATGTATTCTGCATATAAGTTAAATAAGCAGGGAGACAATATACAGCCTTATACTCCTTTCCCAATTTTGAACCAATCAGTTGTTCCATGTCCAGCTCTGTTGCTTCCTGTCCCACATATAAATGGTGGTCAGGCACGCCCATTTCTTTAAGGACTTGCCATAATTTGCTGTGGTCCACACAGTCAAAGGCTTTTGCATAGTCAATGAAGCAGATGTTCTTCTGGAACTCTCTGGCTTTCGCCATAATCCAGCGCATGTTAGCAATTTGGTCTCTAGTTCCTCTGGAACTCATGGGCACTACCAAAACCAAGACATCCAGGCTCAGAGATGAATCCAGGAGCATCCCCAAATGGATTAGGATTGTGAGATATGAATCCAAGGCCCACTTCAGCAGTGAAACTCAGTTAGCCTTTAGGTCAATCACTTTCAAGCTGGCCTACCTCAAAGGGTTATTGGAGGGTGAAGTGAGAAGAGCCAACCTGAGCTCACTGGAGGAAATATGGAACATACATGTAGCAAAGAAATATTTAAGTTTTAGGGTATAATCATGTTAATTCTTGCAGAACTTCAAAATAACCCCCAAGGACTTGTTGGGTCTTCAGGTACATTGAAGTTCCTTGGCAAAAACACCCCACAGAATGATAAAAGAGCCTCCCCAAATGTGACTGCTGTTCTTCCTCTCTCCACCTGCCAAGCAGAAGGGTGAGAGTAGAAGAGTGAGCTTGTAACAGTCAAGGAACACCCCCAGCCTATTTCTTGCCTTACCATAGCAGCTTCCTAATCTAGAACCCTGTACCTGCTTATCTTCAAAGTGGCAGGATGATCAAAGTCATATTTTGCTGTATTTGAGCAAAGAGTAAGGCTGCCAAGTTTTACTAGCCTTTGCTTTTGCAATGTTTACAGCAACCTTCATGTTCAAACACTGACAGAAAGTGCCTTGGTACAAGTTTTCCCGTCAAGCAGTTCTTAAAAGCAATAGGCCTCCCTGCTCAATCCCCTTCCTCTTCTTTATGTTACATGAATACACCCTTAACAGTCAAGACAGGCTGTTCTCAACAAATGTTCTACGTTACGACATCTAGTCAATGCCTAGTATAGGAAGGACTAGTCCCTCTTCTAGTTAGCTTGATTCCTTATCCCTTCTCCAGAAAGGAACACCTAGACCCCAATTTGTTGTGTTGCTTCTTTCACAACCAACCACAACTGGGAACACGTTTAAACAAAAAAGGCTGTTCAAGAGGGGAAAATCTGAAGACAATATCTCTCTATGGTAGGACTGTCGTATCTACAGGATCAGTAGCTGTGGTTTAACTTATCCACTGCCTGAAAATATTAAATAAAAAACTGCCAGAAATGCATGTTTCCAGGGTGTATTACCAGAACTGGCCACTAGTATATTGCCACATAGCATATACTGTTATACGTATATATGCTGTTGGACTGTAGCTCATGTCGGCTCTTGTAAGCAGAATCAGTGCTAAGAAATGGTATCATTCAACCACATCTGGAGGGCCGCCTAAGTTGCCCACCCCTCCTGACAACCAGTATAACTGCCTGTCTTCACAGCTGCAGACACTGGGTAACGTGACAAAGGCTGTGTATACCTGCATACTGATAAAGGCTAACAAGTATTCAAACGTTCCTTGGTTCTGCATGAGCCCATACTGACAAGAGTTAGACTGCTAAGACAGGCCAATTTATACATAATTGCTTTTATTATCAAAAATACATGAACACCCTAAACAGGCATTAAAATAGCTTTATTTACATCTTATATTCAATGGAATTTAATAGAAATCAAAATTATTTACAGTTTTATCAAACACTAAGCAAAAATGAGGGGTAGGATGTCCTTTTTTTTCTCTTGTGAGAATCAATTATAAAGTTAAAAACACATTATTGTCATGTTCCACTCCACCCTCGTGCTAGACTTGCAATTAGAAATAACCACAGAAAAAAACAAAATAAAAATAAAGTGCATTATTAGAAATAGTTCACTTTGGTGGATGAGGTTCCAAGCTCCATGCTAAGGCACCCTGTGTTCCCCTAGATCCAAACTCCTATCTCACATATTAGAAAAATAATTTCAGAGGAAGTTCACCCATTAATTAACGGTTATTTTAGCCAAGGCCTTACACTAACAACTCTGAATACCAACCACATTTATCGGGTGTCTTCATTTAACAGTTCCTTCAGAGTAGCAGCAACAAAAAATCCCTGTAGGTGACAGATCTTCAGTCTCTGACACATTTGAGAAAAGCATTTTAAAAACTGGAGAGATTCCTGGGCTGTGTGTTAGTATGCACCACTTAAAACATTTCACAGTAGATCTAGGCAAATGTGTCTCTATTTTTCAGCAAAACATGCACATTGAAAATGGTTGGCCATTTCTTCAAATAGGAGAAATTTTTAGGAATGTGCATTTTTCTCAACAAGTTTTTGCTTGCTCTAACCCAGTGAAAGAGGTGCAGAGAATTCCCAAATATTTTATGGATATATTTGACAGACTTTTTGTTTGGTCTAGCAGCTTTAATGCAGCAAGAGGCTAACCCTAAGGCTTAGGGACTGAACAGAAAACTCCTCTGTAGGTTAAATAAACACACATTAACTGAGGCTAAGGCTGAAATAGAACACACCCTAGTAGGTGCATTAACCAAAAGCTCAAAAAGCAAAACAAGACAAAAAAAACCTCAATTAAGACAGTTAATTTAAAAACAACAGTTTTTTTTCTCTTAAAAAAAGGACCATCTTATGATTTTGCAGATTGAACAAGTGAAGTCTGACTGCATGAAAAAGTAGTTGTACTCAAATGGCTTGGTGTTAAGATTTTGTCTTCCTTGGTCACACATGAAAAAAAAGATTAGTACTGAAAAGTACCCAAAGTAATTTCACAACAAAGTTAGTTAATGGGCAGGTCATTCCACAGAACTGCAACCTTAAAGTGTGTATTTTAGCTCATTATCAAGGCAACATTGCTGCTAAATCAGTTTTATCAGTTTTGTCACTGTTTGATGCTGGTATGTGTCAAGTGGATAGCAGTTCTGTCCCAAAAGACGATTTAGCATTTCACTCCACAGTCTTGTACTTCATCTGCTTCAAAACCTGGGTTGTCAAGATGTGGAAGCTCACCTACTGGTGGAGACTGGGATGTGTTGTTCACAAGTTGGAGATTGTCATCTTTTGGAAAAAGAAGGGGGGAAATCAAATTTAGAAAGAACAGTCACATACATTCCTTCAGTAAAAGTTTTAGGAAGTTTATATATCAACTGGTCTCAGCAGGGAATTGACAGCTACAACAAACATACAGTATTTGGTGCTTTTCTGACATGTATCTTGTTTGGACTGTATTTTGCCTGTCTGTCACGTTTCTTCAGAGCATGCAAATGTACGTCAAATAAAACTTGTCAGATTTTTACAATGACATAGTACCTTGTTCTTTTTGCAATAAGTAAATTTGGCACTGTCTTGCAATAAAAAGAGACAGTTTTTTCAGATGTCACGCTGGACTAATTACACATGGCAAGGAGGTAGGGAAGACTGGAGAGAATGCCCTCCACCTAACTCAATGAGAACCCCCAGCAGGTGGCAGCAAACACTTTTCTTGCTTCTAATTTCTAACCTATTCCTACTTCAGGCATCATGCCACTGCCAAGGAAATTTTTAAAAATGAACACCTGATTTTCACTATATCCAGATAAGGAACAGGAAGACCCAGGAAATACCAATGCAGTGCAGTTTGGATGACCAACGAAATACTTACTCTCTGAAGGGGCAGGCCCTTCTGGAACAGGTTCATCTGTTCCCTGTACAGAAGCATAACCAGATGATGCTGTTTCACTGTGATTATCCTCTTCATTAAGCGAAGGGATGTTGGAGGCTTCATTGGACACAGAGGTCTGGAAAGATTCTGCTGTGTCTTCTATATCCACCTGTGTCAGGCATAGTTCAAGCTTACGATGAAATCGCATTATTTCAACAAAACTGCAAGCTAACTTCCCATTATTTGTATTATATCATACTAACGTTCCACATTATTTGTATAATATTTACATGTCTTTCAGATGAGTAGTACGGTATTTTACTCACCTCATCTGCTTTTCAATTAAATGCTTTACATATAATTGAAGAGACCCTGAATCAACAAAGCCTAATCGCTAACACGGAAATTTGACCATCTTGGAAATATGTAAGAAACAACAAACATAGCCACGTGGTTCTTACACAATACAAAAATAAGGGCAGGATAGTATGTAAGGAGAAAGACGTAAATAGTGGAGGAGCATATTTTGTCTTGTAATTAGCACTGGTCAAAATGCTTTCTCAAGCACGGTGTAACAGCCAGATATTCAATTGAGTTGCTACCTCAATTCCAATACGTTAGATTGCCAACTGAATCACAGATCACAAATTTACCTCAATTCCCAGAGCTTTCAGTATGTCACATTTACACATCGGACATGTCCTATGCTCCAAAAGCCATGGGTCAATACAGTTCTTGTGGAAGAGATGACTGGAAAGAAAGGCAAACAAGGTTTTACTATGACTCGGAGGATAGAACAAAACAGTTAAAAGTTAAATGAAATTCCCAGGGGCTTAGACAAATAAGCTACACAAACTCTGAATATTTGCCACTTTTCAGCATTATTAAGAAAAGAAAACATATAAGCTTTGTGAAATCTGAGAGGGATCCAGTTTAAAGCACAATGTAAATCCCCTAATCAGGCATTACTGATAGAAAAAAATGAACATAGATGACAGAACTATGAACATATCTGAAGAAGACAAATATTTGTTCATGTGACATTTTGTTCATTCCATGCAAGCAGAACACAGAAGAATCTGAGTACTTGCTTGCACATGAACAAGACCTATTTTTGGATGGTAACAGAATCGAAATGGGAAGCAGGTACATGAACTCTGCACAAGACCATGTCTGCATGACAGCAAGGAAGCACTAAATGTCTGTTTGTCTGCATGTCTATGGTCCTTGCAGCTTCCAAATACTTCTCACTCCAAATCGAGAACCATCAAAGATGAATGCAGGAACCACTCTGTCTGCTAGGAGTGGGAACACATGGCCCTCCAGATGTTGTTAGATGGCAACTCCCTTCAGCCCAAGTCAGCAGAGCCAAGGATGATGGGAGAGCCTGACTTCCACATGGCCATGGATTCCCCATTTCTGTTCCCCATTCTGATTTTTAATCAATGTTCAACTCATGTTGTCTCTTTCAGCTGCCACGCCAAAGCACTCCCATGGCTTTTCACCTGACTTTTCTTGTACTTTCAGCAGTTAAACCCCATTTTGCTTCCTGTTTTAGTTTCAGTATTCTCTCGTGAATATACACTTTTCAATTTGCCTTTGTACATTGTGGAAAAGCACTCAAAAAGTGGTTTAGGAAACCTGTAAGTAGCTAAAATAGTGCAAGCAGAATGATATCCAGGCAATGGCTAAAGAAAGATCAAAAACTTGCACCAAGCATTTGTATCGAACAAAATATCTGATATAATTTCATTTATTTCTAGCATCACAATGATGTGTCCATGGAAAGAACTGGGAAGTTACTAGGTTAGTCATTGTTTATTGGGTCAAGTTGATTACTGGTTCTAGAAAACATGAGGAAGGAACTCATCATTTCTGTCTATCCCAAAACGTATTTTCTATAACAGGTAATTCCTTCCTTGATTTTTAAAGTTAAAGATTAACCTACTGTAGGATGACAACATAACATAAAATAAAATTTCTTTTATAGATCTGAAACAAAAACATTCATCACTGAGAACGTATGCCACTTCATAGTCTTGTTTAAGGAATAACCTCCTGCCTCAACCTCACAACCACGAAGAAAGACACCACTCCTTTCTCACAAGTATACTTTAAGATCACTTGTCTGAAGCAGTGTGCTCTCTTTGCTGCTGCTTCTAACTGTTACTATAGCACAGCAGAGATGTAAAATTGCTGGTAAGAACGGTGACCAGAGTACTTGACTCAATTTAAAGACCTAACATTTTGAGGGTTAGGGCTTTGCCTAACAATTGAAGCAATACTTAAAGCTCAAGTACTGTATGAAGCTCATCTGTTCTTGTAGCCAACAATTATGTGTCATAGGAAAAAAAGGTCAGCCACCGAAAATAATATTCTTGTGTCAAAATTTCGCCTTTTAGTTTAATATAATATGATATATTTTAATTCTTGATTATCATGTTACATCTCTTACAATTATCTACAAGCAGCGTTCAACAATACAGAAAAAAAAGATGACATCAGGACAAAGAACAATTTTGACTACATTATTTGGTGGGGGGTTTCTTTCCAAAAACTGCACCTGTTTGTCATCCGCTTTGTTGTATTCACAACATAAAATTCTTCCCTGAGCAACGCAGGTAACCAAGTAGTGTGAACTACCCTCGTGCCCACAGGCCTGAGTAATTCTCAGGACTGCACTATTTCACAACACTGCTTTAAAAGCCAGGCTTTAAAACACAGAATAAAGGATCCAGGTATATAATAAATACAGTGGGGTCTCTACTTAAGAACTTAATCCGTATTGGAAGGTGGTTCTCAAGTTGAAAAGTTCTTATGTTGAATCTGCATTTCCCATAGGAATGCATTGAAAACCATTTAAACTGTATCTGCTCTTTTCCGTCCATAGAAACTACAGTATACCAACATATATTTGTGGACATTCCATCTTAAACAATTTTTATCTAAGTAGAGAACTAATGAATATTTCAACAACAATCAGAATAACAGCAGTGCGGTGCAAATTCAACTTCAGTGCTGCAGGTATGTGAAAAAAGAAGTATCCCTAAATAATCCAACTTTTTGAATTGTTCACCTCTCAGACTAGAATTTGATTTATATCTTCAAAAACAATCTTGCTTCAGCTGAACAGCAGGATAAAAATGCTCCAAGTTAAATAAATAAATAGAGCGAGAAGCTTGCTAACAAGGGGAGAAAGCATATAGAATAAAGGAGGATGATTTGACTCTTTTAGTACAAGATTTTAATGAGGGTCTGAATAACCTACTTGCACGTTAAAATTCGTACAACATCGTTTGGTTTGTACACTTCAATACACACAGCACAGTTATCTGCATCAGGACCAGTTTCCTAAATAAAAAAATGCTTAGTGTTAGAAACCTTGATTACAATAGGCATGTTGGCATGCAACAAGAAAGAAGTCTGGAATTCAACTGATAGCCACAGAGCAGCACCTGCTTTCCAATAGCCCCGTGTTGTTCTGCAGATATACTGCTAGTAAAGATGAAAGTACAAGTACTGTATTATTTCAGGAGGCAAGGTGCCCCCCCTCCCTCTCATAAGTTTTGTGACAAGTGAATACCAATTTTTAAAATGCAGGCTTTTAGCAATTATTTGGCTTGTGTTCTTATTATTATATATATATTTCAGTATGTTTTTAACTTCTGTAACTGTTTTAATACTATTACGTACTTAATTGTTTTAAATACAATAATTTATCACGTTTTTAGCTAGTTTATTTTTGTAAACATTTGTGAGCTGCCTTGAGTCTCCCCATTGACAGAAATATGGCATAAGAATATTAAAATATAAATGTTTGGTTCTGAAGTCGAAAAGTAATATGTGATTATTTTTACAGACATTTCTCATTCCACTAAACAAAATTATTAGAACCACTCAATGTTCTTTTTCAAAAGGTAGAGCCATTTTGCTGCAAGTGATGAGTTTACTACCGCAGGTAACAAGTACAGTATACTGAAAGAAACAAGTATTCTGTAACATCTTGCTATATTGTGAAAAAGGGACTTAGGCATATTTTTATTGTCTAGGTCACCAATAAGGAAAGCCTTTGGAATTAAGAAAATATTTGGAAGTAAGACTTAAGAGAATTCTCTAGGTATTTTATTTATACTCTATTCCTTCAAACATAGAACTGCATATTAAAAACAGATCAAAATATATGAAAGCATGCACACATAATAAGGCTCCCATAAACAAACAAACAGTAACACAAAACAGCCACAAAGTGACCCTGATGGATATAAACAAGAAGAGTTATTGTGACCCCGATGGGCCCACGATTGAAAGACCTCGTCTCTTCCTTTCAACCATCTAACAACCTGGGCCAACAACCCAAGGTGTTGGCCCAGGTGGTTGTTTAAACTTTCTAAGTCAGCCTTTTAGAAAAAGCACTGCAGTTGGAACTGAAACAGAAGATGTCTATCTCCGGACTAGATCACATGGAAAAGCTCTTTAATCTCTCTAGATTGAGAGCAAAGACCAAAGTCCAGCTGAAATGCATGCGGGACTTCCTCTTCGACAATGATGCAGCCGTTGTTGCCCATTCTGTTGAAGAGCTCCAACAACTTATGAATCATTTTAGTAAGGCCTGCCAAAACTTTGGATTAACAATCAGCCTGAAGAAAACACAAGTCATGGGCCAGGGTGTGGACTCACCTCCCTCTATTATCATTTCTACACAAGAATTGCAGGTTGTTCATGACTTTGTGTACCTTGGCTCAACAATCTCTGACACTCTCTCCCTAGATGTAGAGCTGGATAAATGCATTGGCAAAGTAGCTACCATGTTCTCTAGACTCACAAAGCGAATATGGCTTAATAAGGAGCTGACGGCATATACTAAGATTCAGGTCTATAGAGCCTGTGTCCTGAGCAGTGAGTCCTGGACCCTTTGTACATGGCAGGAGAGGAACCTGAACACGTTCCATATGCGTTGTCTCTCGACACATTTTTGGTATCACCTGGCAGGATAAAGTTCCAAACAGAGTAGTCCGAGAACAATCTGGAATTTTTAGCGATGTCTACGTTGGCTTTGGCACGTTGTGAGAAAGGCTGACGGTAGGATTCCAAAAGATCTCCTGTATGGAGAATTAGTGCAGGGAAAATACCCCAGAGGGAGACCACAGCTGTGATACAAGGATATCTGCAAGCAGGATTTGAAAGCATTAGGAATGAACCTCAACATCTTGACATCTGAGCGTTCAGCCTGGAGGCAGGTGGTGCAGTGTGGCCTCTTCCAATTTGAAGAGATACTTGTCCAGCAGGCCGAGGCCAAGAGGCAGTCCCGAAACCAGCAAAATCAGGGAGCTGGACAGGGGACAATTGTATTTGTATTCAGTGTGGGAGGGATTGTCACTCTCAAATTGGCCTTCTCAGCCACACTAGACATTGTTCCAAGACCTCTATACAGACCACTCTAACACAGTCTCTCGAGACTGAAGGATGCCTACAAAGGTGAACTCTAACACTACCACATTGTCTAATTAGTGTAGTTTAAATGTCTGCAAAGCAGAGACATCACCTTGCCGACAAAGGACCGCATAGTCAAAGCTATGGTTTTTCCAGTAGCGATGTATGGAAGTGAGAGCTGGACCATAAAAAAGGCTGACAGCTGAATAATTGATACTTTTAAATTGTGGTGCTGGAGGAGACTCTTGAGAGTCCTCTGGCCTGCAAGGAGAACGAACCTATCCATTCTGAAGGAAATCAACCCTGAGTGCTCACTGGAAGACAGATCCTGAAGCTGAGGCTCCAATACTTTGGCCATCTCATGAGAAGAGAAGACTCACTGGAAAAGCCCCTGATGTTGGGAAAATGTGAAGGCAAGAGGAGAAGGGGACGACAGAGGACGAGACGGTTGGACAGTGTCATCGAAGCTACCAACATGAATTTGACCCAACTTTGGGAGGCAGCAGAAGACAGGAGGGCTTGGTGTGCTTTGGTACACTTGGTGTGCTTTGGTACACATGACTTAATGACTAAACAACAACAAAAATGTCTGCAAAGTCTTCTGCCTCAGAAGATACAGTGCATGGTACACAGCCTCCCTACTCAAATGACTTTTGTTAACAAGTTGCCTGATGAAGAAATCTGCGATCTTAAAAGACTGCACCCATTTGTGTGCCTTTTTGGTTAGGCTAATGAAAGGATTACCCCAGAAAAGATTTTGAAAATTGTCTTGTGGCCAAAAAGTCTCTCTGCTTTTAAATAAGCTGGCCAGGTTTGTTTTCTCTAGACCATATTGGGTGGAGCTCACAAGAGGAATTCCTGGCCACTGATACCCATTAGCACCTAAGAAAACCTGCCAGTTCCAAGAACACCCAAGTTGTGTATGTGCTCCTTCAAGAAAAATGACTACCCCTTTCCCAGACTACAATACCTTGTCTCCTTGTTTCAAGGTGCGAAGCTGAAGCCGCCCAATAGCCTTTTTGGCATCTGCTTTCAGACGTCTCTGAAACAGACACAGTTACTGAATTACTTTTCCATAAAGAGAACAAATGCAATAAAATTTACCAACAACAAATGGAGTGTTTATTTAACAGGGCAAATTTAGATAGAGAACTGTTCTTTCATTAGAACTTATTTGTTTTTGGACTGTACCTCCCATTCTCAATAATATTGTAAGACAAGAAATACAGGCACAAACACATTACTGAAGTGTTTCTTAACATTTACATTGAATACTATAGGGTTTATTTAGTATAGCTTCTTTTGTCATGAGGAATAAAGGACTTTGTAGCAAAAGTTCCTAAATATCTGAACCAGATGTTTCCAGAAAAGACTTCTGATTAAGGTTAAAACAACACTCTTCCTGTAAGTAATCTATATGTACTTGTTTCAGACTCTCCGATATTTCCTTACAATCGCCTTATGCTGGTTACAGATAGAATTGAAGTTAATATTTCTTTAAGAAGACATATCCTTTGTCTAAGCCACTGTTTTGCAAGTACATTCTTATAAATTTCTGCTCTCCTGCAAAGCTTGTGCCTCAATTTATCCACTGCCCCAAACTGGTCTGAACGAATTTTTAATAGGAAAGGAAGTGGGGATGCATGTATTTGATTCACTCTGGAAAGCTGGAGGCTCTTAACTTTTATTTGGTACTTTAAAGACAGTAACAATCAAGCATTCTAGTGATCAGGTAGAATGTGTTTCTACATTTAAAACTAAGTGACTGGAAAACTGCCAGCATGACTGGAAAATAATTACAGGCCAAATGTCAGTGTCTGAATGCTGAATGCACAGCATTCTCCTGTTCAGCCAAAGGTAACTAGCAGAGCAGCTCAAGTCATCTGACAAGCAACCTCTGTCCTTGAACTACTGAAACAATAACTGGCAACCATCAGTCTAAGGAAGCTCTTCTCTACTTGAAAGGCACATTACATCAGTTCAATACTGTACTATGAACAGCCTTACTAACCACTAGCTTTTCAAACACAGCAGAAATCAGTTTTAGCTTTGTTGTGCAGTGATCAAAGGATAATCAATAACACAATAAAATCTCCTAAAAAGTAAACGAAGTTACCAATAGAATAGATTATTTGTACTAATGTACACTAAGTACTGTCTGAGACAGTATCATGTTTGAAGAACTTACTTAGCTTTAAGGGAAGCATTTAGCCAATTGAATGCATCAATTCACATCCTTTGTTTTGCTCACTATAGGGCAAATACATTTATGTAACCACTCCTTTAGTTTACCACTATGATGGAAAGTTTAGAAATCCTGAAGTCTTTTACAACATTTCTAATTCTTGGAGAGACAGAGTTTTCAGAAAGGCCAGAGGTATACAAGTAAAGTAAATGGACCAGAAACAAATACAGAAGGACTCAATCCTGCAGAAACATGAAGCATGATAGAAACTGCAAAACCTATTTGACCAGGAATGGTGTAGTACACTATCAGAATGATTAGCTATAGTTTTTTTCACTTATCTGGGAAAGCTTCTCTCTACCCTGCTCTGCTAACTGCCTCTCTGTGTAAAAAAGACTAAAAAACCTGCTCACAATAGCATCCTATCTCAGGATAAGCCCCATCAGCACTTGATTTGTGTATAAAATATGACAGCCTGTATTTGGCTGTTGCTGTTTTGAAATATTCAAGCATATATACAAGAAAACAATAAAAAATAACTAGATGTATTACATAATCTCTCTTGCTGCTTTCTGGCAGGGTTACTTTTGGTTATGATCTTAAATCCTCAATATTTTCAGTGTTTTGTTCAATTAACTGATACAGTGGGGTCTTGACTTGAGAACTTAATCCGTATTGGAAGGTGGTTCTCAAGTCAAAAAGTCTGTAAATCAAGTCTCCATTGACCTACAGTGCATTGAAAACCGATTAATCCCGTAACAGGCCGTTTTTGTTCCATTTTGGTTTTTTTCTGGTCTGTAAGTCAAATCTCAGTCTGCAAGTCAAAGCTAAATTTTGTGGCCAGAGAAGTCTGTAACTCAAAAAGTCTGTAAGTCAAGCTGTCCGTTCAATTAACCGATACTGTACAGTTAAGCTTGGCTCCAGTAGATACACAAAAGGTCATTCCATTGAGCAGTCTCTCTAGTGCAATGCTTCTCAACCTAGGGTTGTGACCCCCAAGGAAGTTGCAAAGCTTTTTCTGGGGGGTTGCATGTCACCTTATATGTGTTGTGTCCCTTGTTAAAACATTTATTTCTTGACCTTTTGGAGCAGGATATTAAAGTTGGTGTATATGTATATATACAAGAAACAGGCACTTTGGTTCCCCAAAAGAAAGAACCCTTTACTCTCTGAGAAGGGATGACTTGATCTAATTAAAAATGCCTTTTTATGCAGATGTGACAAAAGAGGTTCCAGATGACTTGCTATAAGGGGATTGCAGCTTGAAATAAGTTGGGAACCACTGTTCTAGTAGAATGTGGAAGAATGAAATATCTCTATCATTTACTTTAGGTTCATTTGTCATAGACATATAATGGGACTTAAAGATTCATATCTTCTCAAGAGGCTATAAACACCTATGAGCCACCATGAATATCCTTTGGACAAATATAGTTCATTTAGCATAACAAAATTAATTTCAGCTTGGACAGGAAAAAGCATGGAAAGGTGTAATTATGCACTGGTAGAACCTGAACTTGCTGAATGCCTCAAGGAGCCAAGCCTACTGAGGATGGGACAAAGACAGGATACTTAGATTATGTTCCAGTTTGGCAAGTGGAGGGCCTAGAATAGCCGTTCCAATTCCCATGGTGAGTTAGTTGCACCAGCACTAAATGCCATGGTGTTAACAGTTGCCACTTGTATTCCTCATCAAGTCTCAGTTGTGTAAGTTGGTACACAACAAGGGATACAAGTGCCAACTAATTAGCAGTTATTTGCCACTGCAAGACATAGTACTGCACTTATACAGGCATAATTAATGAACAAGATTCTGGCCAGTAAATGTCTGAAAATCCTCTGGGTATCTAAATATGTAAGAGATAACTTAATCTCATTAAATATTGGCCTGAGCTTAAAGAAAAGGATAAGCTTGTTAAAGCATGTCTGTTTTGAGCTACAACAAAACTGATCCATTAAAAAATTGATCATGTGATAAACATCACTCAGCCTAATCAGGAAGTTAGCACAAGTATGCAAGTTCCCTTGTGGTTTAATTAACATCATAGGTTGCTCTGTCTTACGAGAATGACATGCTTGAGAGGGGAACTTAATTACTATTACGGAAAATGCAAAGCTGCCCAGACAAGATAAGAAATTCTTAAAAAAAAACACAAACAAACCCAACAACAACAAGTGAAGGGGAGCAAAATGAATGGGAAGATTTCTTCTCAGCATCTTATAATGATATGTTTGGTTAGCAGAAGAAACAGATTTGTCTAGATTTGTTTAGAGTGGTATAGACTACATGGAAATCAGTAATATATATATTTTTCATATATTATTGTCTCAGAGGCTATGGAGTCCAAAGTTGAAAGAGTCCAAAATGAAATACAGCTTAAAACCACTCTATATCATTTTATCACCTACTATTAATCAATCTGACCTCTTCTGCCTAACCGATGAGCAAATAATATCTGCATATCAAGATTTCTGAGCCCACTTGTGCATTACAGCCCCTTGTAATCAGAACAGAAGATGTGAAGTAATCTAACTACAAGAATCAGATTCACATTGAAGCTTCAAAACTATCAACTTTGCCCTAAGTCCATTTGCAATTGTTGCATGTCACAACCTAGAGGAAAATTGGCTAACTACAAACCTAAAACAGATGTTTCTGATTGTTATATCCCACATATGTAGGGCTCAGAATCAGACCTATCTCAGCCATTAACTCATTAGGCATACGGGAACCCAAAAGATATATAGCATATTGGAACCACACAGATCGATTTGCATGGATGATAAATAGCTCCTGAGAGATAGCCTAATTAGCAGTTATGTGACTGAATTTTCAGAATCCAAAACATATGTTTAAACATCATATAGCTGAGTTAAATAGCTGATATTTTGTAAGAGTCAAGGTTTTGGAATTTCTGTATAATGGGATGACTTCTTTAAGAGCTAACCTACTAAGATAACTAAATTTCACAATCACTTTTTCTACTGGCATGATGTATATTGCTAGCAGAAGTGAACTGTGATTAAAGCAGTATTCTTCTGTTCAGCCATCTCTATACCCTTGAAAGTAGCCAAGATGAATGCAACCTAAGATGCATGCAGTTGTGACAAATATTGTTTGGCCCTGAACGTTAGGGCATGAGGAAATAGCTCAAGATTAATATGCTTGACATATGTATTCCACAAAAAAATTCTTTTCTTTTTCTGGATTGTTGCAGGTTTAGGGAAATGAAATGTGACTAACTAGCTGTCACAGTTCTAGCTGAATTATCAGGATCTGAGGTAACTGCTGTATTTCTCTTGTGAACTTGGCACTACAAGCAAGCAAGCAAGCAAGAAAAAACAACACCCATGTTGATCGTATTTTCAATAGGCTGCAGGTGTTCAGTATGCTGCAAGCCAACAAGCGCTTCACTTGTCATCTACTAGTCTTCTTCTGAACTGAGAGACACACCAAACTATAGTCTCAATTCAAGAGGTAGCCACTACATTTTGCCACTGCTGTCAGCAACTGCTTTTTGGGGAAAGTGGAACAAATTGACAACTGTTAAATGTAGCACTGAGGATTATAATTTCATCCTGCCTTTCTTCCAAGGAGCTCAGGGTAGTATTTATAGCCATTTCCATTTATCCTCACAAGTACCTTGTGGGAAGGAAAAGCCCAAGGTCACTAAGCAAGCAACTTGGGTCATCAGGAATTAAAACCAGATTTTCCAGTTGAAATTAATGTTAATGTGGGGAAAAACCAGTGTGTGTTGCAATTAATGCTAATGTTACTATTTCCCCATACACTCCTCTTCCTGTCCTCATATCAAGCAAATTCGGGAAGGCCTGCGACAGCAAAATGAGCTATGGCATGCTGGGATAAGCTCAATATTGATTGTTTGTTTTGCCCTTTATTTATAAAGTAAATGTACTCTCTGAATTTGCATATCAAGAAACCAGAAAAAGAACCAAAAGGCTGGAAGAGCACTTCAGGTTTCCCAATAGACATTACAGAGTGTATATAAGAAGGGAAAGAAACTTACCTGTCTCCTATTCTGAGCCCTTGCAAGCCTAAGCCTTCGTGCAGAATAAAATATGAAGTATCCCACAGTGGCTGCAGTTACGATGAAGAAGGACACAGAAACGAAGAAGATGGAGTAGTTATTCATCCATGATCCATGTTTTTTCCCCACTTCGATAACCATAGTCACTTGGTAGCCATTTTCAATCCTATGAAGGATTTCTTTCCCTTTCAAATAGCTAATCATAATGGCAACAGTGCTTCCTGTACCTGTGTAAGAGAAAGACCAAAGCATTAGGTTTTCATCCATTGTTGCAAGTATGCGCTATCAAGTCAGAACTAACTCAAAACAACCCTAATTGGGTTTTGAAGATGAGTGGGCTATTTAAGGAATAGTTTTATCAGCTCCACAACACCAGTGAGTTTCCATGGCACAGACAGGGAACTGAACCCAGGTCTCTTGAGTCCTAGTCCTTTAATCTATCCACCACATCAGCCATTCTCAATGTAGGCCATATTGCCCTCCCGGGGTGGGGTGGGGGCTCACACGTATGAAGGGAGCCATGGACTGAAAAATTTGAGAAGTTTCAGAAAAATATCTGTTTGCATTGTATCCTTGTTTGACAGAGTGGTTGGGGCTAGAACCTCAGAAAAGCTCCTAAAAGGGTCATGGCCAAAAAAAGGTTGAGAATGGCCACGCTACACTGCACTGAGCAGCCAGTCTCATCTACCCACATCCAATATCGGCAAGCATTTTTAGCCAGCAAAAGAGCTGCCCACAGAAATAACAACTGAGTGTTGCTACCTCCCGTGTTCCACGATTGATTTGTGTTGCTGCAATCCATAAGGCAATATTGTACTAGAGGCAAAGAAATGGATAGCCCTCCAGTGAACGTACATGTATGGCAAATATTTCTTTGCCTTGTTCCAGGGTAGGATAACCTTCCCTCATGAAAGAGACAAGAACAAACATTTATTTAACTATACAGTTATCTACCTGGAGAATTTAATTCCAACCAGCAAAATGAAAGCAATGACCAACCAATAATCTTTGGTGAGAACCTTGGAGAGCTACTGGCAGTCAGAGCAGGCAATACTGGACCAAACAGATTCCTAGTCTCCCTCAATATAAAGCAACTTCATGTATCATATGTGTAAAGCAACCTTAAGCAGAAGTGTGCTCATTCAATTATTACCATCTCCAATATTTAAGGTAAAGGTAAAGGTTCCCCTTGACAATTTGTCCAGTTGTGTCTGACTCGAGGGGGAGGTGCTCATCTCCATTTCCAACCCATAGAGCTAGCGTTTGTTCAAAGACAATCTTCCATGGTCATGTGGCCAGCGCAACTAGACACGGAACGCAGTTACCTTCCCCCCATGGTGGCACCTATTTATCTACTCGCATTTTGCATGCTTTTGAACCACTAGGTTGGCGGGAGCTGGGACAAGTGACGGGGGCTCACTCTGATGCGTGGATTCGATCTTACGACTGCAGGTCTTTTGACCTTGCAGCACAGAGGCTTCTGTGGTTTAACCAGCAGCTCCATCACGTCCCTCCGATATTTACTGTGTGTAAAACCCAGGTGGATGCTGGTGCTGAATTCCTTTGCAATTTTAGTATGAGTCCCTTTGCTGTCCAGCACACCTACGGAATCTCATTCAGATAGTCAAACAGCTTTTTGAAAAGTCAACCCAATTACTTTTAGAAATACATTGTAGATCAATTGAGAAGAAATGTTAAGAAGAATGTATGATTTCAGTTCATATATGTCTGTCCAAAACTAAACATACTTCCTAAAATGGAGAATAAAAAAGGAAATTAGTTGTATGAGCCATGCCAAAAAATAAAATAAAAAAAATCCAAAATCAAGGATGGACGGTACTTTTATTGAATCACTATAATGTCATAAAAAGGAAAGCTTTTGAGTCCTTTGTGAGGGTGCTACAGAGCTAGGGAAAGGAGGTGGACAGAGATGTCCCAAAATTATACTTGTAAGATGTTGCAGGTGCAGGAACTGTTGTTAAAGGTCTAAGTTGAAGAGCTATAAATGTGAAGAATCAACTTTGGAGATTTTAATTTTCAGAAACTCAGGAGATCTAGAATCAATTTGTCTTTATTCCTCCCTGAAGAAAAGGTTTGTTAGGCACTCAATAAATTCTTTGTCACCATTTATCAAGCACACAGCTCCTGATTTGGAATGGGAAAGGCAGCACCTAGAAGGATGGCAATTTTGATATCAGAAAAGACGGGAAATAAACCTGCAAGTTCAACATCTCTCCAGGATGGTTTTTGGACTTTTTTGACCCCTTACACCAATTCTGCAGTGGCCAGCCCAATGAAGAGTCCTACAGGACCTGAAAGCTTACCCTTTTATAATATATTAGTGACCCAAAAAAATCTAGATTCGCCTATGACCTTCCACTACTAGTCAAAGTCATTTTTCTTCAGACTTTTAGCCCAGAAACTGACTTACAGAAAATATTTACAGTAAATATACTATAAATGATTTAACAGTTTATTTTTATGGATGTTTTGCCCCCTCCTTTTTTAAATAAATATTTTTATTGCTGTTTTATTGGATTTTCTTGTGAATATGTATTATTGTTGGCCACTCTGAGCACCACTTGGTGGCAAGATGAGATACAAATGTACTGGAATTTTAAAAAGCAAGAATTGTAGTTACTTATGCTTGAAATGGTGAAACTGTAGTAAACATATGCCACCAAATATAGTTCTCCTACACTACTATAGTCTTTTAGTAAAGCAAAGTCGAAAGAGAAATGGTGCCAGACAGACATATATGAAGTCCATATAAAAACAGAACATCTCCAAATTGAAATGTGACATGACCTTAATTACTGTATATCCAACAGCATCAGCTTTTGTATTTAACCTACATTTAGAAAAAAAAAAGAAGACGGGGAAAAAGGCCAAGCAGTTTCACAACCTCTAATTTGATTATGGAGGAAATCTGGAAAATTAAGATTTTGCTACATTGGCACTACCAATTTTTAGGGAAAGAGATGGCCTTTTCACCGGAAGCTCTCCCTCTCATAAATTACATATTCAATTCTATACACTAGCCCATGCCGTAGGTGAGTGGGATATAACAATGGTACCTTATGGCACAGTTATAAGACTGTTATTTACCCTTTATGTTAAATCTCAGTTTCACATGAGGCAGGGCAGTTTCAAACCCACAGATCTGCAAATGTGAGATTAAGTTGGCAAACAATCATTGTTTCCAAAGGTGTTCCTTGAAGGTATGGAGTATGTCTGGTCAACAGTTTTGCTAGGTACCATGATCAGCAGGATTCTGAGCAGGGAGAGTTGCAGTAGTATGATGGATGAGATACCGGGGAGTTTTTATAACGACAGCTTTACTTTCCCCAAAAATGACTCTGACAAGTGTTCAGACTTCATATGAATGAAGGTTCAGGCAGCAGCCAGAGCAATAACTCAGATAAATTGCATGGTGCATATAGACCACTTTCTCCAATTGTTGATTTCTTTTCGGATTCAGTTCGGAGGACTTGGTGACAAGTTGCCCATCTTTTCCAGCTGTCCGCCAGTCATTGAGACTTTTGTCTGATGCTGACTGCCTACATTTTCTGAGGTCCAGACAGTGTCTCTCAGAAATAAGGAGTCTTCTGTAGCATGCCCTGATATTTCTATGCTTAGCAGAAGAGGCTTGCATTGCATCTTTCAGGTGAAGGCATTTTTATTTTCACTGACATTGCCACTGTTATTGTTAGTGCACTGGCATGCAAGTTATGACTGGCATACAAATTTGACTACTCTTTTCTTCCAACCTTAATTAATTATTACCATTTTTAGTTGTGGTCATAATATATATTTCTTGCTTGGGAACTCTGGCATTGGAGGATATGAATGAATTTAATAAATAAGAGTCAGGAAGTACTTGGCAGTCCTACTTCATGCTCAACAGAGGAAAAGTAAATGTGTCCTTTGTATCTGCTGGCCAAATGGACTTTACAGGGAAAGAACACAGGTTGGTGGATGGGTAGGCATTTGTGCACATGCGCATGCGTGCACACACTGTCTCTTCCTGCCAGCTTGTTACACCAATGCTATGTTTCAACACAAAATTCAGGCTGGTATCATTTTTAAAGAAGACACTGCCCGTGTGTCGCCAGTAAATTTTTAAGCAGTATGTTTACACTATCCAGGAAGTATTTCCTGACAATTATCAGAGTTAAACTTTTTGGTTGCCAACTCTGTGTGCAATGTCCACGCTGTATCTCCATATTTCAGTGAGATGCAGATTTCCCACGTTAGCCTTTTCTGACTGCTGAATAAATGTAATTTTAAATTTGCACCTACAAACAATTTGATGCCTCTCACATACATATGAGCAGAATAATCCAAACAGAAAGAGAGCTTATTTCTGATCTATTAGGTTCTCTTAGAGGACAATTGCACAACTAATATTAACAGTGCAATAAAGTTACATCTAGATTAAATGTTCCATGAAGAGATTATATTAATCACATATGCACCATTGCATGCCATGGAACCGAGTACTCAGAGCAGTGCCATGCACAGAATAAATATGCACCATTGCATGCCATGGAACAGAGTACAGTACTCAGAGCAGTGCCATGCACAGAATACATCAAGTTTCCAAGAGAACAGATCAGCTTATCTAAATAAGGCACAGGCAAAGGAGTTTGTACTATCTAAAGTTTTCCACATATGCATAGAAACAATTAAGTTGGCTCTCATTCTATACTCAAATGTTTGGATTAGATAACAAACTAACGACTTCACAGACCCAAGAGTCTCCGAAGTCTAACTCAACCTGAAGATTTTGGATAGTTAGTAGAGCACGTGTGTCCCCAAAATTCAGTAAGGTCCAAAATACTAAAATTGGCATTATTCTCACAATTCTAGAAATTTAGTCAACACATGGACAATAGGATCAACATAGCTTCACAGTCTGATCTCTAACCATGGGCTGCTTTCTTTTTAAAATAATGAAGCATTACTGTAAGTTGGAGAGGCATTGCTTCCCACCTTAAAAATATCTAAAAGGCAGCTAAAGATCTACCACTGCTGTACGTTCTAACACTTTTTTCACTGTAATGACTGAGACTAGCATTCAGTATGCTACAAGGTGGCTGGTACTTGTAAAAGTGCTGTGTCCTCAGTTGTGAAGAGGACTTTGATGCTGTATGCGAAGCTGGAGTGTCCTCTCCAGGGCATAAAGCCTGGGTAAAATAATATGGAGGATAGGCTGTTACCCAAG